GGGGGGGGGGGGGGGGGGGGGGGGGCTCCCATATGGAAAGGTCAGGAATGCTCGTCAAAAAAAAAGTTTTGCAGAGGTCATGGTTTGAAATCCCCTTCAAGCCTGGATTTTGTTAATCAGTTTGTTAGCACAGATACTACAGTTAGTGTTTTTCACAACTTGTCCTAAATAATATTGTGAAGTTACTATAGATTTATTACAACTAGTTTATTGGCAGAGTAACAAACAAAATGAATAAAATAAAATTTGCATTGTGATTTAAATTTTTAGCATATAGTTCAATATAATTTAAAGTAGTTAACTACGAGGAGGAAGAGGTATTTATATGCATTCTTAGTACTTTGTTAGTATCAGTGGTTCGCTTTTCAAGCATCATTCAGCAGTTGAGGCATCCAGGCATGTCTCAGTATCTATTTATGCAGTTAGTGGCCCTAATCAGGGTCCATTCCACCTCTGAACGGTCAGGGGTTTCAGTTGCTGGGTTCCCAGTCTTAGCGACGGTCAGTGGTCTTCTCTGTTAGGCTCAGGCTTGCATCGCATCTTGCTAATGTTACAGCTTACCTTCTGCGTTACATTGTACCAGGCTGGTGCTTCTGTGTTCTTTGGGGAATTTTTGTTGGATTTATGTAATTAATTTTTTGAAACTATTTATTAGTATTTACTGTTCTTATTTTACTTTTTGCATCAAAATTCTAGTTTCAGTGTTGAATGGTGCCTGGGATTTCTGCGGTGGGGGAGGGGAGGGGAAGGGGGCTCGTGGCTGAGTTGGGGCCAGTGCCTGCCATGTGGGTGGTCTTGGATCGTGGGGCTTGGGTTACAGAGCAAGTGTTGGGTTTGTTTTCCCTGGGCATCTAACTTCCACTTGTGATGAATGTTGTTAAAAGTAAAATAGAATTTGAACTTACAATGGGATTTGATCCTATTATTGATACCAGCATGTTATCTTACCAACCTAGCTATTAAGATGTCCTAGATATGTTTGGAAGAGGTTGATTGTGGGTTCTGATATCCCATATATGAAGGCCATGATAAAATTACTAGTTTGAATAGAATATAGTTACAAAAAAATAAAGAACTATTGAGCTGTCAAAAACGTTAATCATATACAATGTACCTCTTAAGTAATTTTGGAACAATTAATTCAGCAAGGTGTAGAGACCTGCTGGGGAAAATCTTACTACCCTATTGTAACTTCTGAAATTTTTTCTCGTAACAGTTCCAGTCAGTGACAGTAGAATTCCACCACAAAAGCTTCCATCTCCTCGGCTGTTGGTAAGCTGGGAAACAATTAGATTTATATAGAATCTTGTGTTGTTGCTGCGGTGTACTAATATTACATTAAGAAGGCTGAAGTAGGATGAAGTTAAGAGGAACTGAGGTGTGGGTATGTTAATGTATGATGTACCGTGTCTGTTTTTTTATGAATTATGTGTGTTTACAAAAATATTGTATGCAATTTCAAATGAATAAAAATGGATAAAATACAAAAAATGAAGTTTTGTTTTCTTGGTTTTGCATATTCATCTGTTTACTGGAGGAGCTGTGTGTATGAATATAATATGCTAATACCTACTGGGTGTTTATTTGACACCTCCCTGTTCTGTTTTCTAATGGTCCTAGGGACTTAAATGTGTCTTACAAAAGGGAGGGGTTAAATTCTCCATCTAAATACACCTTGTAGTAGTTACTGTAACAATTTGTAATAGTTGTATAACAAAAATTCTAATAATATAAGATGGTAAGGTGTTTTACAAGAGGCTGCACGTACAGGCATTTTTCACCTGAGTTACTTTTCACATACTCTCAAAATGCCACACTGATGTGGCTAGTTATGGGAGGTGGTCATTTACCAGAAAAGGGGATTAAATGTTGGGTTATAGCCTGTAGTTCTAGGCTTAATCCATGCACAAATGCATCTAAAAACCTGAACAAAAACAAACACTACCCAAGAACACATCTAGTAAATCAAAGAGATTTCAACATGTCTAGTTTGAGATTTCCAAGTTGTTAATACAAGTAGAATACAGATGAAGCAATAGTCACTTGAGAACATCACACACGAGAGATAAAATGTTCTCATGTAAAATGAACTAATATCAAGTTATCATTTTATCATGGATATACATGCTGTAACAAGGGTTATTTATTATTATTAAGGGTCTTGTTACCCATAGTGAAGTTGAATCACATGAAGACATTTTAGAGGCTGCTTATCAGAGGTGGAAAACAATAGATTCATTTCAAACTATCAGTACAGGGAGGTTGACGGTAGTCTGCAGTGAATGATCTAAATCATGTACATGTAATATCTGCTTACATATTTATAATGTAAGGAAACATGTTGACAGGTGAAAATAATTGACTCTGAGAAAGTTATATTATTTTACTGGCAATGTTGTCTAGCTTAGTTGGTGTACCATATTACAGTCATTAAAATTAATGTATGAAATTTAATACTGAGGGTGAATTAGAGCTTATTCATATATTTTTCTTCATGGAATCCTTATTCAACAGTTCTCTACAGCTGGTTGTGGAAAAACAAAAAGCTGTTTCTTTACGCCATACTCTTGTGGCTCATCACCAAACAGCTGCGATTACTTCCTGACGTACACACCTAAAGAATCATCCTTTATGTTTGAAATGAGCAGCAATAAAAAGTGGGTAGCAGTTGGATTTAACCACAAGGCTGTAATGGTAATCAAAGATACCCTTTAATATTTTGTACGTATATTTTAGATGTCAGCTGTCCTTTCCCTAAATATTTCTTCCTTTTACATGTAAAAGAAATCGAGTTATAATACTTACAATGTCTTTTCTTGTACATAGCAAGATATACAGTTATTTGCATATCATGTATTTCATGATTGTATACATTCACTTTTGAGATTTTGGATGATGGTACTGAAGTGATGCAAAATTGCACAATGATCACAAAATTTCATTACTACATTACAGTAGTAGATGTAAAACTTTTAAGTTTACTAAATTGTGAACTGACTTGTCTAAATGCAGATTATAGATATTTGCTTCATAATTTGTAACCTTCACATACCATGCTGAATAAAGATAGATATTTGATCAATTGATCAGCACCTGGATGTATAAATTATGCAATGCAAGGCATTTTTGTCTTTTTTTTTTATTAGAAAAAAGCATCAAGGTAATTACAACTGGTACATTTTCATTTCAGGATGGAACAGATTCCATTATATGTTCCGTTACAAATGGAAGTACTTTAGTTGGTCATTATCCTATAGAGGGATATCAAACACCAGTAAGAACAATGCAGGTAAACTAGAGATGACATTATTTTTTGTGCTAGAATATATACCAGCTGTAATTACAGATAGGGAGGCGCGGTGGCCTCATGGTTAGTGCGCTTGTTCCCGGAGTGAGCAGTCCGGGTTCGAACCCTGGCCGGGGACACTGTGTTGTGTTCTTGGGCAAGACACTTAACTCTCACAGTGCCTCTTTCCTCCCAGGAGTATAAATGGGTACCGGCGAATTGTTGGGGAATCCTAACAAATTGCGGGGGAGTGACCTGCCATGGACTAGCATCCCGTGTAGGGGGAGTAGAAATACTCCTAGCCGCTTCATGCTACAGAAACCAGGATAAGCTGCGGCAGCTATGAGCCATTCGGCTCCAAGGCTTCACTTTTGTAATTACAGAAGTGCACTTTCATCACTTTGAACTGAATTAACTTCATTTTGATTGATTAAATGTTTGCCAAAAATGTATATTTTTTATGTATAACTCTTGTTCAACATGATTTACTTCCAGACATCTTTGGAGTTTCCATTGTAAACACTAACTTCAGTTGAACCACTTCGACTAATTAAAAGCCACCAAACTGCATTGTATCTTATTGTGAAATAATTGTGGGTATGATGCCGGACAGTGCTATAATGAAACCTCTGACATAATTGGATGTGGAACAGCTTATTACTTAGGCCCTAAGCTATGATTCAGCCCCATGATGTAAGACTGCCAACATGGCAGGCACTATCCGCAACGTAGCCACGAGCTCCCACAACCTCAGAGAACCTAGGCACCAGTCACACTGAAACTAGAATTTCAGTGGAAAAGTAAATATCAGCTAGGGCAAAAGACGCATCAGCATCATCATCTTCATCGTCATCATCATCATCATCATCGTCATCATCATAGTCCACTTTAGGAATAAAACTATTCTTTGCCTTACAAGTCAAAAGTACCTCCAGTGTAGTCTATTTACTTACATAATTACTGTTGTGTTTATTTATGGCATACTACATAATTTGTTTCAGTCTGTAAAAGGGCTGAAAGTTGAGCAACAATCTTATGAGGATGGAGCTATCAAATGCAGGTAGCCATTTTAAAACTCTGTTAGGATTTTTTAAATATTGTAATTTTTGATGTGTTGTTAAAATGCCAGTGTTCTCATTTTTCATCACTGTTTATCATTTGTTGATTATAATTTTATAATTTTATACATCATATAACTTGTTTCTGTTCTTATCTCTGTAGATCTCTCATTAGAAAACTATGATTATCAGCATCAATTTTGTCAGTGTCATTACTCATCCTATATTATCAGTAAATCACTGTTTTCAGTAGAAGCTAAATTCTGTTTTGTGCCATTATATTTACTGTTGTAGGTTTGGACGAGATAAACAGGATAATATCATGGCTGCTGACCTAACTAAGCATCTGTTTATTATATTTGCCATAGGACCAACAGGTATTGACAAAAGTACATTGAAATGTATGGAAGATTCTAAATGGAAATATGGAAGATTATCTTAAGTTGTCTTTGTTTGTTTGTGGGTTTTTGGATTAATTGCCACTTCCAGGTTATAATTTATATTCTCTGATACTATCCATTATAGACAGTAAGCTAGAAGATACTGCAAAAAATATCACCAGATAAAATGAGGGAAAATTTCTCTTCTCAAAGTACTTGGAATTTCATAAAACATTGAAAAACAAATTTTAGTGTAGCTAGTATACTTTCAACCTCTGTGCCCGGGGGGAACTCATATAAAAAGGACAGGCGTTCTCGTCAGAATTTTTAAAAAGAACCCCCTAAGAGGTACCAAGATCCTGTTTTGTGGGCATGGCATGAATTTCCCCTCCCCCCCAAGAGGTACCAATTCTTACATAACACATTATCTCCTGATATATTTTTTCAGCTCAATACCCTTAAAGGTACTGCAAAAGCTCTTGCTGTGCACCTTTTGAGGCTTAATACCCTAAGAGGTACCAAGAGAGCTTTTTTAACCGCTAAAAGTCATGACGAGCACCCCCATCATTTTTATATGGGAGTACCCCCCTGGGCCTCTGTGAAGGCCATTCAAGGTATATTGCACCAAAGGTACATAGATTTGCCATCATAATCCAATTTTGTTAAGTTAAAAGATTATAAATGTTGCTGATTGTTTAAAGAACAAATATTTTGTTGTGATTGCTTCAATTGATGTTTCAACTTGTTCAGGTCCCGATAATTCTCTTAAAGAACACAGTTGGAAAGCTCACTCCATGAGTCCAGTGAATCTTGCTGAAATTCAGATCCTGGAAGCTTCTGTTTATGACTTGTCATTCATTCAAATACATGGTAAATAACTGTATGCTATCTTGACACTGTTTACATAAAGTTTAGAACTTTGTACCTGAAAAGAGCTTTTACTACATGGCTACATGCATATTTGTGACTTACAATTGATTCTGTGGTCTACTTATAAATATAACTCTTCTGTGTGTGATAGTACATGGAATACATAAGGCTGTAAAGCTGTCAGCAAAGCAAACTTTTCAAGTAGATGTGAGGATGGATGCAAATAATTATAGAGAAGGAACTTACTAACTGTAATAATTTGATTTAGTGCCCCTGAGGTACTAAGTTTAGTTAGTGCCTGGTAACCAAGGAAGGGCGCTTATTGGAGAGCGAGCACTAACTAGGGATGGAGTGCCTATTTCTTTCTGAACATATACATCTGACTGTGGTTCAAAACTTTAATAAAAAAAGAAACAACTAGTCTGCTGGCAGCCGGTTTTTTCTCTACGGGTCACTAGGATGAGTGTTTAGTCATCACGAACGCAAAAGGGTGGTATGGTGGTGGCTGAGCAGGGAAGAAGGCGGGACAAGGGTGGTATGACCGAGTAGGGAAGAAGGCGTGCATGCCATGCACATGTCTCCTCCTATTCCCCTTTAGCCAAAACATCTCACCTCATAACCTCTACTGAATTTCGAGAGAAAAACAGACTGCCGGCATCTAAAAAACAACAAAAACCATACTTTAGCTCAAGAACTGTAATGATAGAGCTCTGACAGACATAATGTTCGGTAATTTATGTTCATACAAAAAAGCAGCAGACTTCATAACTTGTTCATCTAGTCACTCTATTCTTCAAAGTAAGCATAACAGAATGATGTTTAACTTGAATTCAAACTAAAAAAATCTTTAGTTGATATGCTCATTTAATGTCACTATTCTGTTATTCAAACAACTAAGAGTAGATGTAATGCAACCAGGTAAAAGGTAACACAACACAATATGCAAACAACAATATGGTGTAATTGAGGGGGACACAGCCCTGTGGCAGGCTTGACGTGACTTCATGATAGGTGCACAAACAGAAAGCCTTGCTTATTCACCCACTAACGTGGGAATAGAACAAGAGTATTGGCAGAGCCTTTCTTATCTCCCCGGCAAAGCACAGGCTGGATCGGACAAGATAAAGGCTAGGATATAAGATGGCAAGACACAAACAATGCCAAAGCTTGGGGGAAGTCGCTATGCAGACTTAATCGAGCCATGAGGAGTGACCCCAGTTTATAGGCAAATAGCAAATAAAAGCCCTTCTCCAAGGGAGGAAGGGTGGGAAATTTTAAAGTTAAATTGTTACAAACTGTGTACTCTNTCCAAGGCTTCACTTTTGTAATTACAGAAGTGCACTTTCATCACTTTGAACTGAATTAACTTCATTTTGATTGATTAAATGTTTGCCAAAAATGTATATTTTTTATGTATAACTCTTGTTCAACATGATTTACTTCCAGACATCTTTGGAGTTTCCATTGTAAACACTAACTTCAGTTGAACCACTTCGACTAATTAAAAGCCACCAAACTGCATTGTATCTTATTGTGAAATAATTGTGGGTATGATGCCGGACAGTGCTATAATGAAACCTCTGACATAATTGGATGTGGAACAGCTTATTACTTAGGCCCTAAGCTATGATTCAGCCCCATGATGTAAGACTGCCAACATGGCAGGCACTATCCGCAACGTAGCCACGAGCTCCCACAACCTCAGAGAACCTAGGCACCAGTCACACTGAAACTAGAATTTCAGTGGAAAAGTAAATATCAGCTAGGGCAAAAGACGCATCAGCATCATCATCTTCATCGTCATCATCATCATCATCATCGTCATCATCATAGTCCACTTTAGGAATAAAACTATTCTTTGCCTTACAAGTCAAAAGTACCTCCAGTGTAGTCTATTTACTTACATAATTACTGTTGTGTTTATTTATGGCATACTACATAATTTGTTTCAGTCTGTAAAAGGGCTGAAAGTTGAGCAACAATCTTATGAGGATGGAGCTATCAAATGCAGGTAGCCATTTTAAAACTCTGTTAGGATTTTTTAAATATTGTAATTTTTGATGTGTTGTTAAAATGCCAGTGTTCTCATTTTTCATCACTGTTTATCATTTGTTGATTATAATTTTATAATTTTATACATCATATAACTTGTTTCTGTTCTTATCTCTGTAGATCTCTCATTAGAAAACTATGATTATCAGCATCAATTTTGTCAGTGTCATTACTCATCCTATATTATCAGTAAATCACTGTTTTCAGTAGAAGCTAAATTCTGTTTTGTGCCATTATATTTACTGTTGTAGGTTTGGACGAGATAAACAGGATAATATCATGGCTGCTGACCTAACTAAGCATCTGTTTATTATATTTGCCATAGGACCAACAGGTATTGACAAAAGTACATTGAAATGTATGGAAGATTCTAAATGGAAATATGGAAGATTATCTTAAGTTGTCTTTGTTTGTTTGTGGGTTTTTGGATTAATTGCCACTTCCAGGTTATAATTTATATTCTCTGATACTATCCATTATAGACAGTAAGCTAGAAGATACTGCAAAAAATATCACCAGATAAAATGAGGGAAAATTTCTCTTCTCAAAGTACTTGGAATTTCATAAAACATTGAAAAACAAATTTTAGTGTAGCTAGTATACTTTCAACCTCTGTGCCCGGGGGGAACTCATATAAAAAGGACAGGCGTTCTCGTCAGAATTTTTAAAAAGAACCCCCTAAGAGGTACCAAGATCCTGTTTTGTGGGCATGGCATGAATTTCCCCTCCCCCCCAAGAGGTACCAATTCTTACATAACACATTATCTCCTGATATATTTTTTCAGCTCAATACCCTTAAAGGTACTGCAAAAGCTCTTGCTGTGCACCTTTTGAGGCTTAATACCCTAAGAGGTACCAAGAGAGCTTTTTTAACCGCTAAAAGTCATGACGAGCACCCCCATCATTTTTATATGGGAGTACCCCCCTGGGCCTCTGTGAAGGCCATTCAAGGTATATTGCACCAAAGGTACATAGATTTGCCATCATAATCCAATTTTGTTAAGTTAAAAGATTATAAATGTTGCTGATTGTTTAAAGAACAAATATTTTGTTGTGATTGCTTCAATTGATGTTTCAACTTGTTCAGGTCCCGATAATTCTCTTAAAGAACACAGTTGGAAAGCTCACTCCATGAGTCCAGTGAATCTTGCTGAAATTCAGATCCTGGAAGCTTCTGTTTATGACTTGTCATTCATTCAAATACATGGTAAATAACTGTATGCTATCTTGACACTGTTTACATAAAGTTTAGAACTTTGTACCTGAAAAGAGCTTTTACTACATGGCTACATGCATATTTGTGACTTACAATTGATTCTGTGGTCTACTTATAAATATAACTCTTCTGTGTGTGATAGTACATGGAATACATAAGGCTGTAAAGCTGTCAGCAAAGCAAACTTTTCAAGTAGATGTGAGGATGGATGCAAATAATTATAGAGAAGGAACTTACTAACTGTAATAATTTGATTTAGTGCCCCTGAGGTACTAAGTTTAGTTAGTGCCTGGTAACCAAGGAAGGGCGCTTATTGGAGAGCGAGCACTAACTAGGGATGGAGTGCCTATTTCTTTCTGAACATATACATCTGACTGTGGTTCAAAACTTTAATAAAAAAAGAAACAACTAGTCTGCTGGCAGCCGGTTTTTTCTCTACGGGTCACTAGGATGAGTGTTTAGTCATCACGAACGCAAAAGGGTGGTATGGTGGTGGCTGAGCAGGGAAGAAGGCGGGACAAGGGTGGTATGACCGAGTAGGGAAGAAGGCGTGCATGCCATGCACATGTCTCCTCCTATTCCCCTTTAGCCAAAACATCTCACCTCATAACCTCTACTGAATTTCGAGAGAAAAACAGACTGCCGGCATCTAAAAAACAACAAAAACCATACTTTAGCTCAAGAACTGTAATGATAGAGCTCTGACAGACATAATGTTCGGTAATTTATGTTCATACAAAAAAGCAGCAGACTTCATAACTTGTTCATCTAGTCACTCTATTCTTCAAAGTAAGCATAACAGAATGATGTTTAACTTGAATTCAAACTAAAAAAATCTTTAGTTGATATGCTCATTTAATGTCACTATTCTGTTATTCAAACAACTAAGAGTAGATGTAATGCAACCAGGTAAAAGGTAACACAACACAATATGCAAACAACAATATGGTGTAATTGAGGGGGACACAGCCCTGTGGCAGGCTTGACGTGACTTCATGATAGGTGCACAAACAGAAAGCCTTGCTTATTCACCCACTAACGTGGGAATAGAACAAGAGTATTGGCAGAGCCTTTCTTATCTCCCCGGCAAAGCACAGGCTGGATCGGACAAGATAAAGGCTAGGATATAAGATGGCAAGACACAAACAATGCCAAAGCTTGGGGGAAGTCGCTATGCAGACTTAATCGAGCCATGAGGAGTGACCCCAGTTTATAGGCAAATAGCAAATAAAAGCCCTTCTCCAAGGGAGGAAGGGTGGGAAATTTTAAAGTTAAATTGTTACAAACTGTGTACTCTCGTGCAAGCTGCCAGGATAATGCCCTCTGACAGTGTATTGAGATTAATATAGCAAGACAGTGTCTCAAAGTTCAACCAATAGGTACAGCTGTACTATGAACTAAATAGACGCAACATGGCGAGCTTGTTAGCAATGAATGGAGCTAACAAATATATGGGCCAACCTAGGAGAAGCTAAGATATTTTGCTAGATTATACCACGAGATAGAAGCTAAAATACAGACATAATAGTGTTTGTGCTAACTGCTAGAACAAGGGAACGTTCACTCATGAATTGAGCATTCAGTATTGTACTATTGTTTATCCTACTGGATTGCGTGACAAACATAAACAGCCTAACCCTCAAGGGGTGTCATGTTCCATTAACTGCGTTTTACTGACCGGTAAAAGCAGTATTAATAACAGCTCTATGTGTAGTACTCAAAGTTAATGATCTCTTGTCAGTATTGATCATTCAAGTAATCTGTAGACAGGAAGTTTTAGTGTCTATCAAATCACATTGCCCTATTGAAAACTTTTTTGTTCTGTTCTGTTCCTCGGTTGGGACAAACAAAACTGACTGTCCATGATAAGTGTGTGTCCATAGAGCAGGGTTCCACTGTGTCTGTTATATTTCCCCATAGATTGCTAATACTGTATGTAAATTTAGGCCCTCTGAGATTGTTTTCAATTGATAAAAAACCAGCAGTAGTAGAATCTGTCTTCTTGTTTTATTTTGTGAACAAGGTGGAAGGGGGAGAGGGGCTATTTGACAGGCAGGACTTGACAGGAAATAAATGGCTGCTGGATACCATGCTGCAAACAAGTCATTGTTACTTTTTGTATTTAATTTTCTCTTGAAGCGGTTTTGATGGTGATTGCATGGGTAGGATTTGCGACAGTTGGAATGTTCATAGCGCGATTCATGAGGCCAGTGTGGGGTGAAAAGAATGTTTGTGGAAAGAGAAAGTGGTTCCAGGTAAGTCACAGAAATGAAGCTGAACAAGATGGCATCAAGTCATCTTTAAATAAAGGTTCTCATCTTATCTTAGTAGTCTTAGCTTGTTGGGAATTATCCAGGTTAAACGATTGAGTGCAATGTACTGTCTGATCACTATACATGACTTTTTGGCAGCCTTAATTACCAGCCTACTTTCCAATCATACTTTTCTGTCTCCTGGTTAGCCTTGTATTATGTAGTTAGTCTACCACCTTTTACATTTTCAGCTGTGAATTTAGGTAACTAACATTGTTGTGAGCCAGTTAAGGCTGCCTCAGATCCTGAACCTTTCCCAGTATCTTGCTTGGTAGATACCTTTGCTGACATAGATGCATTCAATGTAGAAGTCAAATTTTTCAGAGCTTAGTCAGGCTCATAAGTACAGCAGTATTGTACACATCCAGGTACCCTACCACATTGTCAGGATTCCCTGCACCTTACTTTGGTACAGTAAAGAGACACTGAAATTCAAGTGTCCAGCCAACCCGGAACAAGAAACAAAAGGATAATAATGTTAAGGCCTTATATCCCATTGCAAAACTGAATTTGTACGGCCGATATTTTGTTTGATCAATCAGGTACATCAAGCCTTGATGATCATTACAGCACTTCTAACAGTAACAGGAGTTGCATTTGCTTTTATATACGTTGGTCACTGGTCTCAGGTAATAACAACTACTTGTAATTTTACAATAACAAATTGTTGTCTAGTGAGAATTGTATGAATACCTACAGAATAAAGACATAGAGGGGGTCCATAGGGTAGTCTGTCGCCCTGGTCTGTATCAGGTTCTGCGGACTGGGAGTCAGTGTTTTCAGGTTACCCCTAGGGAAGTTTGAAGAGCACTCAGGCCACTCGCGACGGGCCTGCACCTTGAGTAACTCCTACGCTTCTTTCATGCTCTCCAAACTTTCCCCTTGCATCACAAATTGGTGATGCATGCTAAAGCAATGGTCTGTTGTTTATTTCATGACTATTTTCATCCATTAATTCTTTTAGGAGACAATATTATTAAACAAAAACTTTATTTTTGTCATGTTGCCACATGTTTCAACAAATTTCAAAACCCTTAATGTAGGTTCAGCTTCCTTTACATGCTATTACTGAAAATCAGATCATAATAATTATTATTTGTTCATTTACGTAGGATGCCGGTGCTCATCCATTCATTGGCATTATTGTACTATCAACAGCAGTTATTCAGCCACTTGTAGCTTTTTTCAGACCTCCCCCAGATGGAATAAGGTATGTTATTACTGAGTCTTCTTTTAAATTTCAGGCTTTTACTTACATAATTTTGTGAATTAATTCATGTTAATGTTATAGAATGGACTGATGCATATACAGTGGAAATATTAGAATTTGGATGGGATAGTTTGTTTCGTAGCAATTTTGTTACAATTTTGACAGCCTTTTTTTTAATGTTGTTTCATATTTTGTTGAAGACGCAAGCAGTTTAACTGGGCTCACCGGAGTTGTGGAATAATAGCTTTAGCATTAGCAGGTAAAAACACTGCAGTATCTTGTCCTTTTAATTCAACTTTGAATAGCTTCAGAACCTTGTCTGCCACTTGATATCAACTAGGATATGCCAGAGCTTTGATTAGGCAACTAACTGCGAATTTTGGTACGGTAAACCGGGACATGTAGAACACACAGTTTTGTGGAGGTCTCAAAGACTAGATAGTAATAGATGTACAACCTTGCTTACTGCAGCTGCAGCACCAAATATGAAACTCTTTTTGATATAATCATTTCTTTTCTAGTGATAAATATCTTCCTGGGTTCTGTACTACCAGTCTTTCACCTGGACGATTCCGCTGTGTATGTGATGATAGTGTACCTCCTTGTACTAGCAGCAGTGGTGGTGTTTGAAATCTACCTGGCACTCGTGAAAGCAAAAGATGTTAGTAACTATAGCGTGCTTTCTACACCTCAGGATGACGAGGTTGAACTCACTTCAGCACCAGTCAGTAGAACTCAGAGTGACATTAAAAAGGTAAGACTTGTAACAAGCAGTAAAGGCATCCTAATGCTCCAGTCACAGGAGCGAAGAGGATGAGTGAGTGAGTGTGACCAGCAGTAAAAATGAATTTAAATGCTGTGTTAATTTGCAAAGGATCAGTGATCATCAAGATTGAACAGGTTGTGCTGGAAAATGTACATTCAACTTGAAATATCAGGCTAAACGTTTGTCTTTTCTGAAGATTAATGATAATGGCATAGCTTTTACTGTTTGAAAGTTTATCATGGTTAATAATTGTTTTACGTATAAAAGTTGCTTAGGATCTGACTAGCACCCAGTCACTATTTTACAAAATCTAGCCCAGGAACTCTGGAGTGTGCCTTCTGAGAACACCCCCTCCTGACACATAATATGACGTTGCTTTAGACACTCTGGGCTTGATGGTCTATTTTGTAAAACTGAGTAGTGACTAGATCAGATGTGATTCAGACTAATAATCAGTGCATTAGTTATGCAGATCAGTCGTAGTTTCTCCCGACCAAACCCGAAAAATGGCACCCTATTCAAGGAAAAACAAAAACTGAGAATGGCATCAACGGGTCAGTGTGAGATATTTCCATTTGTTAACTTTGTTAACATATTTTGTTCTTTCAGATATTCAGGTTACACAATGTGATGTTTGGAGTTGTTATTCTGGTGGTCAGTGTTGTTTGTTTAGCAATGCTGGTGCTGATCACTGCACACGAGGATGCTGATGATGATGACTGATTTGATGTCACTCTTTTTAGCATAAACATAGGTTGAAATATGATCAAATTTCTGCTATTGATGTTTTTTTGATTTTTTGTTCTCTTCATGGCACATTCTTTCAATGACAGTAGCTATTGTTACAGATGCTGCTTAGTTTTTGGCAATGTTTTACCTCAATACCAGGAAGACTTCATCTTAAGGATGAAACTATTCAAATACCAACTCTGAATTTTGAAAGGGCATGGCACCATCCAAAGGAATTTGATCCCGGTGTATTGAAAAATACTTTTTTCCATGATGCTGGTGTAAAAACTAAAACTTATACAAAGAATTTCTGTGGGCATTAGCAGTTAGCCAGCCAGTAATTTTGCCATTTTTAGATGGCTGTGCTAAATGCACATTAGACTCTGTACTATTTGAGATGGCCTCACTCACTGAATGCCAATATCTCCTTCAATACTACACCCAAGGAGTTAAAACATTCACCAGTTACTAAGCAGCTTAATATTTGGGGTCAATTTGTATCCAGGAAAGTAGCATGACACAAAATGTTAACGATGATGTAAATGAAGTATGTTTTCAATGATTTGTAAACAGACAATGGTTTTGCAGTAAAGCAATTCTTCAGATTACAAAGTTGAAGTTTGTTAAAGTAGCACCTGTTCAAATTATATACATAGATGTTTTATACTTTAATCTACTATTTAGAACTTAATCTATTTGAAAATAAGGTTCGATTCACAAGCAGTGAAACTGTGAAGTTTGTATAGTTATAACATGTCTGTGATTCTTCCACTTGTTTTTGTAGTTCTTGCACATACGTAAAGGACATTAAAATTTGATGTTTTACTTTCTAGAATGCAGGATTTTGTTGCCTTATTCTTGGTGTAGGTGGTGAACGGTATGACCTTTAAATAGGGTGGTTGCCTTTGAAAAAGATCCACCTCCTATGTAAACACTCTTTGGGGTTGTAAAGCAATCTTTCACATTGAAATTGGCAAAGTAACACTGCTTAGTTTTATTTGTGATAACGGTGTTCCTTTTGAAAAGAACCCACATTATCCATCTGCCTCGGTTTTTGAAATGTCCTTATTTCCTTTACACCCCACCCCCAATTAACAGAGACAACCAGCAAATTATTCTTCAAGTGGTCATTTTTTAGTCTGATTACATAGCAAAGATGTCTCACGCAAAGATCACTTGCAGACAGCAATTTCCTTTGTTTTCTCCTCGTGTCATTTGAGATGGTTTTTATGCATGGATAAGTTGTGTATGGAAAGCAATTATCAAAAGAAACAAACAGATGCCCCTCCCTGATTTTTCTTGAGAAGCGCAGGCAGCTTTACACAGGATATAAACATATTCAGTCATGTGGGAACTTTCTATGATATAAGTAACTGTCAACAAGAGCACATGGATTATTACTACTTACATCAGTTATTCTAAACTCACTACCCTACACAGTTTTCATACTGTCTATCTCTGTTTAGGTGTCCATTACGCTTTACTAAAAATGACTACCTACCATCATTAACCTTTATTCACACCTTGATCCTTAGCTGTTCTGATCTGATTGTCTAAGCTAAATTGAACCCAGTTCACAAGTTCAATGATTCCAGTCACTGAGCAAATTCAGACATGAGCTGTCTTGCAAGCCAGTCTAGACCTTCATGTAAGCCTTTACCAGAGTGTGCATCACAGGCAAATATATTCCAGCTTCTACCAAAGCACAGCTTGTGAAGGGCAAGCTGTTCAGTGAGGGCATCAACACTAAGAGCACTTGGCAAGTCCTGAAAGAAAACAATGTTTTAGTCCTTTAATCTTCTAGATTATTAGCTCAGTGGTAACTTGAACAAATGAATGGTGTTTCAAATGTCCTTATTATCATAATTCTCTTAAAAGGAAATTATCAAATCACTCAAACTGGAGATATTAACGGTCAATGTTTTAATATTGAACAACTGAACATCTATTACACAGTGCTCCAGATAAGCAAGGGGTCTCAGGTCAAAAACCTGACAAGGTCAACTACATGACCCAACAAATTAATAGAAAATTTATAATGATGTGGTGGGAGTCCAACTTGCTGTAATTCTGTATTGACACCATGCCTTGAAAAGTTATCTGGAACCCAGATAACAGTTAAGAACTAGCTGTACAATTTGTACCTGTTTGTTGGCATATATCAGCAACAAAGCATCTTTCAGTCTTTTCTCTGCCATTAATTTTGCAAGCTCTTCATGAGCCTCTGTGATGCGCTCAATATTGTTGCTGTCAATCACAAAGATCACAGCTACGAGACAAAGCACACAATTAATTGGACAAAATACGCTGGGTATTTAACAATATAAAAGAAGAAATGTCATATTTGTAGGAATTTGAAATGTTTTAAGTTTGTGTTATGTACACAGCAAACATACATCAATGAGTATTTGTTTGAATGGTTAAAAATCGTTCGCTTGCTATTTATCACGCGTTCAAGATTGATAGGAAAGCTGTTCGAACTGATGGGGTTATCCATTCTGAAAATATATTCAGCCGTTCAATCAACTGCTGCCATCCATTCGAAAAAAATTTTCATGTGTTAGGACGGCAGTGGTTTTCAATTCAGAATTCAAAACTATTCAGCCTTTCGAACAGCAGAGGTTTTTCGTACAGCAAAGGGAATCCAATAAGATTCAGCTCAGTTTTCATGACGCTTTAGATTTGTTACAGAGCACTTCCCTTAGTTGGCATATATTTCTTTACAGATGTCAATATATTCATCGTTTCTTTCACTTTCACTGCAAAAAAATCGACGAACAAGATGCCAAAACAAAACTTTTCACCTGATTGTCAAGTTGTTTCCAACTTAGACACTATGGGACTCTGGGACGGGAGTGTCTAATCAGCATGGGTCGGGGGTAAACAGCATTGGTTGCTGGTAAACAGCGCTGGTCACGGGTAAACAGTGCAGTTCATGGGTAAATTGGCGTGGGTTGCGTATAAATTGGCGCAGGTTAACTGAGACAGTGTCATGCAGTAAGATGTTGTGAGTTAAGTACATTGCCAAAGTAAAATTTG